GTTGATTCAATGTCAACAGTAGTAGTAGATTTATTAATAGACATCAGAGCAGTGAGGACATAGTTTAGCATCAATCCCATAACTGATCTATCCTTAACCTCTTTATCTACATCTGTCAGTAATATCCATAAGAGGATTGAATTGATCATAGATTTACAATCTGAAGAGATCCTGGGATGTATATTCCTTTCTAAGCTTTCTTTAGTCAAGTCTCCTTTCTTGTTTTCATCTCATCCTCTTCCTATAATCTTTTTATTATCTCAACCTTATTTATATTATCTTCACTAATATACATACTAGAAAAAGCTCTTTAAAGTTTGAACACTCTGAAAATGTCTTTGTGTTTGTATATGTCTTATATTATCTGTGTCATCTGTTATTTTAGATCATATGCTCAAAATAAGTAAGAATTATGTCCTTTTTGGTTTAAATCGTATTTAGTATCAGTGTGACATACACAAAAATTATGTATTTGTCAATGGCCGTTTTGCCTATGTGATGATAAAGGAAACAACCAAAACACCCCTTTCCCCGTATTTCCTCCTTCTTTTCTTTTTTTTATAGTGGTTCCATTGATAATTATGTTTTTGTCTCAGTTCCAGTCATGAGGTCATACTCATTATAGTCCTGCCTTGTCCAAGCACAAAATAATTGTGTACTTTTTAATTATCTCCCTCAATGACTATCAATAATAATTCTTTAGTTCATTATTCTCAAATGGCAATTGGGATTAAGAGCGAAGTTGGTGTCATAACTACCTAGTAATTTCATACATGTGCATATATTTTCACTTTGGAAAAAGCTTCCTGGATGATTTTATTTGATATCTGGTACCGCTTTTGCACAGCCTCCCTATCCTAGAAGAGCTTTATTTTTCATGATTTACACAGCATTTTTTTACTCATGGTCTTAAATTTCTTAAAGAACTTATTTCCTTTTTCTATGATTGTTATTTTGCCATTACCTAAAAATCCTTAAAAAAATTCCTAAATATGTTTTCCCAGTGACACCAGGTTATAGATGAAGACTTGCCCAAATTAGCATGAACAGGATAAAAAAAAGCGGTGGTTATTTTCGGTTTCACAGAGTTTGGTTCATGGTAACTGTTTCGGTAATTTTCAGTTAAAACTTGTTGAAACCCAGTATCTGTTTTATCTTTTAAAGATGCAGATTTAATCCTTTTTAGAATTACTACATAGAAGATAAAAAAGATTTTAAAAATTGTCTGCTCCCTTTACCTACCTTCTAATTTTTAAGAAGTGTTGTTCTTATTCCTTTAGCATCTACAATTAATGTGTTTTCCATCTCCCTGCAATTCAAATGTAAAAGCCACCCCCTCTTATCCTTCCTTGTATAGGAGGAGTAGCTGCTCGCTATTACTTACTTTTCTCATACTTGAAGACTTAACTCCAACATTATTCTGTTTACTTCTTGTGGGTAAACACTGGCGGTTCATCATTTGGGCTTTTCAAGGCCTGTTTCTTTTGTCCCTTTTCATGCTGAGGAATACGGGAGATAGAAAAAGGTAATTATTAAAAACTCAACATTTTTTTTAATCACCTTCAAAATATAGGTGGAATAGGCATTGCCCAGAATTCCTCCCCCCTTTTCTTCCTGGTCTCATCTCAAAATATCAAATGCGACTAAATTAAACTATGTTAATTTAAGATTTTAAAAACGAAGGGACTTATAAATAGCATAAATAGGGCATTTTTATGTATAAAGGAGCCAACATGATGAAAGAACACAAGTTGGACTGAGAATCAAAAATAATAAGATACTAATAATTCATGTTTGAATAGATGTTATTTAATTCTCATGCCTGTAATAATGAGCTCCAGCAGCCCCCCTTTGAAACAGATGAAAAAACTGAAGCAC